AACATAATTAATATATAAAATACAGATTTCTCTGATGTCCACCTTTTTCAGTCTTTGGGTGTATAAAATGCTGCGTTCAGTGTACAGTTGTTTAGGGACCTAAATGTAGCAGTATTGTATGCTATCAGCCCACTCACACAGCTGCATTTTGGCTTATGGCATTTAACTGCGTAAACCAAGAGACAAATTTGCATCCATGGTTTGATTTTGTGATTTTTGTGAAGCAGGGTCCTACATTGGCCTTGGGACAGACAATCCAGTCAATCTAGAAGAGCTTGTGGTGTGTCTGATAGAAGTTTGGCGAGTTCAGAGTACCACGTTTGCCTAGGACAGATCAGATCTATGAGTATTATCAGAATAGCCACTATCAGGATCCCAAGGAGCACACAAGAAAAGGGTTTGACGGGAGGAAAGATGAAGATCAGGTTGTACTGATCCCACAGAGCTTTCAGAGCATCCACAACTACCACTAGCAGAGCTCTGCACCTGAAAACAAACTTGCTCAGCTTGTTGTTGAATCTGGAGGTCAGGAGGTGCACATCCACTATTCCGCTCCTGTGGCAGAGGTCCTGAAATATTTTACAGGGGTTGCTTTCTGAGAAAATCTGCTTGCCAATTATTCATGTCTGGAACGTAAATGGCAGACAAGGCTTGAATGTGCAGTTCTGCCTGAGACAGAATGTTTTCGCTTTCTCTTGCCACAACAAAGCTTCTGCTTCCTCCCTGATAATGGATATAAGCAGGGCTTGAAAAATTTGATGGTGTCTCACCAGTCAGTCAAAAATGTCAATGACTATAGCCTTGCAATTTATGTTAACATTTTTTGGGGGGACAGATAAAGCTTTCTTTTGGAGGTATATAATCACCGCTGGGGGGGCGGGGTGTTATTTTTTTTACTATATAATGAAAAAAGTACCGTAAATGTAAAAAAAAACAAAAAACAATGTTTCCCTACGTGTTATGTTATAAAACATTTATTCTTAACCATATTTTTTGTAAAACATAAAATTCGGGGTCACGGCGGGTAAATAGACACCAAACATGTCAAGCCTTAAAATTGCGTGCGCCCGCAAAAATCGCCCATAGGTGACGATTAAAACGCTTTTACTGCTCATCAGTTTAGTGTTATCAGTGATTAATGGCTCTAAAATTATTGCTCTCACTCCGACGTTTGTGGCGATATTTAACATGTGGGGCACAATAGGCGCAATCGTAGTTTTCGCACGTAGGTGCGTGTGCATGTGGGGGGCGGGGACTTAAAAAAATGTTTTATTTTTTAACTTTTTTAGGCTTCTTTAATTTTATTACTTTTTTTTTTAACATAACTTTATTGCTATCACATGGGGGGCTAGGAAGCTCCCTATGTAATAGCCAATTTACATGACAGGTCCTATTCATGGAGACATCAGGGGTCTCCAAGACCCCTGTCACCTAGGGACCCTCAGAGAAGCTGATGAAGCAGAGATCGGCTTCATCGGCTTCTGTAGCTGGAGAGTGACATTGACTGCAGGAAGTGATGCAGGGATGGAGAGAATGGGTATGATGGTGGAATGGAGTGCAGGTCGGGTATGATGGTGGGATGGGGTGCAGAGGACGGGTATGATGGTGGAATGGGGTGCAGAGGATGGAGAGGACGGGTATGATGGTGGAATGGGGTGCAAATGATGGGTATGATGGTGGAATGGGGTGCAAATGATGGGTATGATGGTGGAATGGGGTGCAGAGGATGGGTATGATGGTGGAATGGGGTGCAGGGATGGAGAGGACGGGTATGATGGTGGAATAGGGTGCAGAGGACGGGTATGATGGTGGAATGGGGTGCAGAGGACGGGTATGATGGTGGATTGGGGTGCACGGTGTCGGGTCCCCAGGTTTCAGGCCCTGGGGTGCTCGGGGCACTTACTTGTCTGAACACTCCCTCCATGTCTTTGATCTGCTGAACTCCTTGAAACTTGGTGTAGGGATAGGAGACCCTCATGCTGGGCTGCTCCCTCTCCCTGTCCTCCGGGTCCCCCATCCGCCGGTTCAGCCTGGATGCCAGCTCGTCCCCAGCCATCGTCTCCGTCAACTGGCTGACACCTGTCATGCTCACATCCCCGGAATCCGTCATGTGAACGCACTGGCCGGGCTAGATGTAAGGCGCGCCGGGATTGGAGGAGAGTGGGGGCTGGATCGCGGCGTGTACGGTGGGCGTGGCTCGTGTGTGGAGCGGCGAACAACAATTTAATAGATAGCCGACTAATCGACGAAAACCTTTTCCATCGTGTATTTTAATAAATCGAATAGACTAAATCGAATAGTTGTTGCAGCTCTAGTTTACATGATGGGTGCCAGTCCAGTTTGTCTCCAATATACCAGAATATGGTATATAGTATGAAATAATGCAGTTCCTTTATTAATTCAAAATTGGCATAACAGAATACATCAAGAAGGACTTCCCTTACATGTTAAGAGCGCACAGGCTCTGTCTACATCATACAATAATGTCCGCACATGTGCATACACCCTGATGTATTCTGATAGGCCCATTTTGTATGAATAAAGAAGTCACATGTTTGTCATCCATTTATTGGAAGGGGTTATACTTGCCTGGCCAACAGCTTTTTTTGTTTTGTTTGCCAGAGTCAAAATCCTCCTGAGGCAGCAATATAACTCAATTGTCCATGAATCTACATCTGATCCTGTGTCCCTTAATGCACAGTAAGACTTTTTAAAGTTACAATAATAATTCAATTTTTAAAACACAGTTAAATCATTACTTGCCTGTTTTTTAATCACATATTCATCTCCTCCTTCAGTCTTCATCCGTTCTACCTTTTCTTCTTGTTGTTTGGCTTCTTTTTCATACATACATTTTTCTTTAGACAATCTGTAAATGATATTAAAGCAGTTAATACACCTGGTCCTCCCACACAACCGCATCACCCACTCACAGATCCTTTGACAGGATCTGTGAAAGGAGAAACTACAAGTCCCATAGTGCAGCAGAAGGACTTGTACGTGTTGACATCACCACATTTGTAATCCCTTTAATTCTTCCTCCCTTGTATGGACATGAATGGGAGGAAAAATCTGCAAGAGCCAGAGCACTGCACCCTTGATCCACTAATTGCATTTGCAATGTCTTATTAACTGCAATGCAAACAAATAATTAATGCATATATTTTCTTCCAAATACCCCCTGGCACATTTTGTCATTCTGCCAGAAGAACCATTGGAGAAGTACTTCCTTTGACAAGGTGACAATACTCTTCCTTCTGCAGTGAAATCACTGCAGTGTTGTCATCCTTTATGCTGTGATCTAGAAATGCCGCCACAGTTAATAGCCATGCATAGCTCAGTCCACAGACCCTTTAGACTTACAGCATAGGAGCCAAGGTAAAAGCTTGCACCCCTTCCAGTACTGTCTAGCACTCTGCTGGAGAAATTCAGCTTCACAGCGGCATTCCCATTATAAAAAGAAGTAATTTACATTTTTTTTAAGACCTTTAACTTGCATTGGAAAATAGCGGTTTACCACTCGGAGGAAAAAAAACTAGAAGGTTTAGATGGACTTTAAACTACTTGTAACTGTTACAACTACAGAGAGGAAAGTTGGATAAAATGAGTATTTTCATCAACTCTGACTATCCAGCCCACTGGCTCAAGCAAAAGCACCCAACCTGAGCTGAAACTCTCTTCTTTCTCACAAGGTCAACATCAAATGAACATGATGTCTGAATGCACCAAACTGGAGCTGACAAGGCTTCATTGTTATTATCACGTCTCTACTCCAAAATAAAACAAATAAGAACAAAAATAAATACAAAACCAGACGATTCCTGCTTATAAGATCCTGAAGAAATGACTACTGGCAGACAGAATGACCTGACACAACTGGAAGACCATTTGAGAAGAAATTATTTTACGCCCTGTTAAATCAGTCAAGTTTCTTCCATTAGGAGTTCGATCACTGGCAATGGAAGTTTATGCCTCCTCAAATCTGAGAAAGACATTCAGGAGATGGTGAAGAGAATTCACAATGATGGACTGACACTTAACTGTCTAAAGACTTTATGGGCCTCCGTCATGTAGCCGGAAAGAAAAAAAAGCCCAGCGAAAATACAAAAATAATACACTACTCAAATCAGCATGTCCAATGTATGTTGTGTGTTTTGTTGTATTTATACAATTTTATGAATTTACATGTTTGGAAAAATATCAAGAAATGCATGATATTATTTATACATGTTTATTGTGTCTACAATTAAAGTGGAAATTCAGTACAAAATACATTGAGATAAAAAAAAAATAAAAAAATATATAGAATATTGAAAGAAAAAATAATGGATAAAAAAAAAACCAGCCTTAGCTGCAATAGTCACTTTTACTGCAGAGCCTTTATAATTTTCTCTCACAGTCTGGTGTTTCTTAATAACATTTTGTTCTTTCAGCACATGATGTTTTGGGCTCCTTGTGCTGCTTTTGCCTCTCCTACTCTGAGCTCTGCTATACGGGGGTTGATAATAAATCAGTGTCAAACACTGCTTGCATAAAAAGGGGGTATTTTTTACTTGCCTGCAAAATTATTTTCTTGGAGAAAAGTACAGGACACTCTCGGATTCACAGACAACCAAGCTATAAATGCACACCTTATACCTTCAGGAAACTGGACACTGGCAAAACTGATCAGAGATCTCATATTTCCTCCCACTCCCAACAATCCTCAGGCATCACTAAAATGTAGATTATAACATGGGTACAAAAAAAAAACCCAGAAAAAAGGGCCTCAGTCATGGAGGGGTTAAATCATACACTGCAGGATACAGGCAGATTCATAAACAATTGGGACGTTCAAAACAAATACAACTGAGGAATGTGCAACATGGCAAATGAACGCAACAGGCCAACACAACAGTCCTAACTCACAGAGCAGCCTGAAGCACCTTCCGCCCAAAGCTGACATCAGAGAAGGCCTATGCGTTCACCTGGTAGAACCTGGCAAACGTGTGAACCAAAGACCAGGTGGCAGTCTTTTAGAAACAAATGCCTGGTGCTGGCCCGATAAGTACTAAACTGAGCTAGTTGGGTGTGCCCTGACAGGGAAGGGTGGAACTCCCCTTCAATATGTGGGCTTGAAAAATGACCTGTCTGATCCATCAGGCAATGGTAGATCAAGAAGGGAGGCCCCTTTTTATTGCTCTACCTAAAAGGAGAGAGCATTTAGGAAGGACAAAGGCAATTTGTTTGCCGAAAGGAATCTGTAGTCTAAAGATAAACTCACTGCTCGCACCACATCCAAACAATGGAGCAAGACAATGAAGGATGGACAATATACTAATTAAGGTGGAAGGAAGAGACACCCTTGGGTAGAAAGGAGGTGTTAGGCTTCAGGACAACCATATCCTTGTAACACTACAAATGGCTCTTTACAGGAGAAGGCAGCTAACTTGGAACCCCCCCCCCCAGCAGAAGTAATAGCCACAGTGAAGGAAACCTTGTGAGAAAGAACAGCCATAGAAATCTCCAGAATGAGTTCAAAAGTAGGCCTCTGAAGGGTCAGCAGAATAAGGCTGAGATCCCGTGGTGGCACCAGGGAGTGTCTGGGGGGAGTTCCTTGAGCGAATTTCTGCACGAAGGTCTTCACTAGGGATTGGGAGGTAAGATAATTCTGAAAGAACATAGCCAAAGCCCAAATTTGACCCTTGATAGTACTCAAGGACAAACGCTGATCCAGACCTGACTAGAGAAAGGCCAAGACATGCCAAGACATGTCCCACAGAGCATTAACAGAGCGGAAACTTCCTCTTTTCACACCAAGCAAAGTAAGTCTTCCAAGTTGACTTCCTAGCGTTCAGGAAGCTCAGTAGATAGTCCTAACCCTTGACCTCAGGGAGAGGAAACTTAAAACAAGATAAAGAGATACATTTTATTTATGGTGATCAACAATCCATGTATAAAAAGAGAGAGATTAGGCAGGAATTAGAAAAACAATAGCCGAGTCTGCTCAACCACCACCAAAAGGTATTAAAGGGATATGATAGTAAATAGAAAGCCTGCCTTGAATAACACAATCCTGCGGGTTATACCTGAAGGGTAAAGTGTTTGCTGAAAAGGGAGGCAATCCTAAAGACAATAGTAAATCAGCACCTTAACTAATGCAACTGAATACCGTTAAGGAACAAAAACACAAAAAAATCTTAGAAATTCTTCAAACAGGTTCCTTAAGGGAATACTTCCTCTTGAGAGAGACTCAGCAGGGTAATAACAAGACATGCCTGGTGAGCATAGCAAGTTCAAGGTGTGAATTTCTTGGAAAGAAAGATTAAAAAGAAAATTCCAGACTCTATGATATGAATAAAAGTGTGGATATGAAGGGCACACTGACTAGCAAGGTGAGTCCTTAAACCTTCACAGAAGAACTGGCAGCTAGATATGTTGGATGTGTTTAGATGTCCGTCCTGCCTGGCTGCTAGACTGGTCCCCGGAGCCACTTCACCCCTGGGCTCGAGCGGTTAGATCAGAAAATGACTAAGGAGAATCTCTCAAGGACACTAAAATATCCAATTTGGAAAATCATACTTGAGGATGCTTCTGAACAGGAGAGTCTAGCAAAACGGAGAGAAAGAGAGAGACTTAAGTAACCTGGCCAAGACCTTAAAGAACTCCAGGCATATATTAAAAAATAAATTAACCCTTGCAGTGGGGCTACCTAATAGAAATAGTGGATGACACTGCATAACCAGGTGCATATTCAGGAAGTGAATAGCAGAAACCAATGTCTGATGACCATATAGGTCAAAATGTCTGTCAGAAGGACAGGAGCTGTACATAACGGTTGCTTACTAAAAAGTAGTTGAAGTATGTTAGGCCGTATCTCTTACGTTCAAACTCCTCAAGCAATAAATTATTCTGAGGCGACACTGGTTAAATATCTGGGTGGTTCTCACACCCTAGCTGTAGGCCCCAGTTAGGTCACTAAATGGTGTCTATGGTAACCAGAGCTCTAGATAAACTTCAACAGCATTGGGTTTACTGAAAGGACTCAATATTGTGTATGCACTATGTGAACTGTATAAGTAGTACTGAAATACAATGAATGTGTGGGGGCAGCTGTATTAAAACTACCGATATGTATAGTGAAGTGCTAAGAACGCTACAGGTATTTTGGCAAGTCCAGTAAAACTACCAAAATACCTGTAGTGTTCTCATCCTCATTTTCTATATACTGTATATTAATGACATTACAAGGACCCCTTGGGGCCCAGTGGCCTTTAGAGAGCTGCCTCCAATGTAACATTCTTAACTACCTTTAGATTTGGGTCCCGTACTCTACCAATACTTCTATGTTTGTATTTAGTTTACTGGAAGGCATACAGTGGGAGTCTGACAAACACAGTCATCACAGGTGAAGGGATCCCATTTCTTCAAACAACAATTTCTTATATACAATAATGTCTAGAAGGAAAACTCAAGTAGAACTTAAAATGTTTTTTTTAAAAATGTATTCCCTCAGAGATATGTACAGTAAATTCCGATTCCCCTTCATTGGGCATTCAAGCTACTGCCACTCTCAAGCAACCGGCAAAATACAAAACAAAAAACACGAGGACATTTTTTTTCCACGTGGCTTGATGCACACTAAAAAATTGCCGGTTGCTTAGTGCACACTAAAAAATTGTTAGCAACTACATTTATTTAGTTGCTAAGGAAATTCTTTGTTTACATCTTGCTGCCGGCCAGCGGTTAGATTTCTCGATTGGCAGCAGAATGTAAACAATGGGGAGCAATAGCCAGCCTGCTATTGGCTATTTAAAATGGCAATAGCAGCCTGGCTTTTGCACCCGCCCACTGAGCTGACTTGAGAGAGGACTTGAGAGAGGACTTTCT